GTCTTAAAGACAGTGAGTCCCCCATCAGTGTAGGCATCTAAAGTCTGGCCTAGATGTTGGGAGACCTGACTTGTAGGTGGCTTCTTCCTCTGGGTCTCATTTTCCATCCTTAACATGAAGGCAGGAGACTTCCTGATCTCCAAAGGGCCTGCAGCCAGGGAATCTGTGTCTGCCGACGCTGTCTCACACTGAGCCCAGATGCAGCCTCAGAACCCTGAACACGGAGCTCAACTGGCCGTTGTGAATACAAGTCATAAATCAGATGGCAGTTACAAATTGGCATATAACTGGAACCTATTTGTCACTCTAGTACTTATCTAATAGCTCTTTCTTCCCAATATCAAGGATTGTCTTTTAGTAACTAAATTGAAAAAAAGCCAACTAACTTTTTATTTCCCCTGGAGGCTTGAGTGTCCAGCCAATGGCCTGGTATAGGTAGGGGTGCACCTGGATGTCTGTCAAATTACCCAAAGGTTTGTAGATATGGAGTACACCTTCCCTATCAATCAAGCCATGCACAGCCGGAATGAAATCCTCTTTTTTCGTGCAGAACTGAAAAACAGTAAGTCATTGCTTACCTATCTGGCCATCAGCAACTTATGAGATCTAGTCATCAAATGCAATCAAATAAAAAAAGTCCTGAGCAGTGAAACAATTGCGGACACAAAGCCCATGCATTTTATTCCATGAGTTATCTATTTGCTGAGCCAAGCATGGCAGCTGCAGTGTGTGGCCCAGGCTGGCAGATATACAGCACAGATGCCACCATTTCCCTTTCTCTTGCTCAGGGCATGGCTTCACCAGACCACAGGGATAAATGAGTGTGGTCAGACTCACTGACAGCAATGAGAAATCAATGACAGTTGACAGGAAGGGAGGACACATGGAAAAACAGGCTAAGGAGAAATGCACACCAGTCTTGGTATTTGCAGTTGAATCCTGGCCTTGAGGCCAAGTTGTCAGAATGTTAGCGTTCACTGTCTTCTAAGGTAGGGGAATAATATATTCTGGAAAATCTCTAAGGAATAGGAAAGAGACGGCATAGCAAGAGTACAAATTTTTGGAGCCAGATGGATTTGAGTCCTAGTTCTTTTTCCTCAGCAGAGCAGGATATTGGTTATTTCCTTCCAATCTGTTATAAAGATCAAATATGTGCATAAACATTTAGGACAATGTCTGGCTTATAAATGCTTAACAACTTGTACTTGCTGGGATTACTACAAATAAATTTGCTAATTTTGAGCCACTTCTGTGCTTGTCCACTAAACCTGCTCCTAGGATGTGTTCTGCGGGTGGTGGTGTATTTACTTCGGAGCTGTGCTTTTCTGTAACACATCTACACATGGCAATCCTTTGAGGGCAGCACTTTAATTCTCACTTGCTTGAAAGGCCTGAGGCATGTGCCCAGTTTTGCCCACGGTGGCCAGGGCTGTGGAACTTTGTGGTGTTCCAGAGGCACGCGGATCCGACGGTCTCGCTGAGGGCGTTCAGCACCCATCAAATGCCTCTTTCAGCAATTTGAACAGAGGATTGTCCATCCTGGGTTTTCCTACTTATGGCAAGACCTTGTGCAAGCACTTGACCCACTTTTTAAAAAAATGTGTTTTTCATTTACTACGAAAATAATGCAATTTTGGAGGAAAGTAAAAAAAAAATAATTCAAATCACCATAGTTCTATGACTCAGATAAACACACTATTAATATTTTGTGAATTTAATTCATTTTTTTCTAGAATATACTTATATAGATGTTTACATATTATAGATAGGTATTTTGACAAAACTGGTATACTGTGCTATATAAGGGCTTTGAGATATGCTTTTCCCACTTTATGATACAGTTAACATTTCCATTAATAAATATTTTTTAAAAACATGGCTTTCTAGTTTTCCATCACCTGAACTCTACAATACTCAGTTTTCACCATTAAAAAGTAGGTCCCACAACCCTTTGTTGGAGGGTTGCTGTGAGGCTGCCGTGACTGACAAATGTACCGTGCCAGCAGCATCTGGAGGCAGATATGCTGTTAGAGAAACTCCAGCAGTAACAGGACTGATCCTAAGGCCATAACCCCTGGTTTCTGCCTTCGTGTAGCTGTTAGAGGGCCAGCACACGGATGGGGCCCAACCCTGAAGGAGTTGGTGAGGGAATGAGTTGGCAAAATTGAGCCCCACATCCTCAGCCCTGGCGCTGTAGAAGCAGGAAT